CATTTTTACATTCCCGCTATGACTTATCCCGGAGGAATCTCTTATTGTCTGAGAATTTGGGATAAGTTCTTATTATTCCACTTTCTTTTGGACGATTCACAACTTTCATGATAGACATATTTTCTTGGCACCTTCGACTCGCTTCTTAATTTAACAGCCGAAGAAAATAAATCAGCGAAAAACGTTGCGATAAAAAGCAAGGCACAGAGAATGGAAACAGAGAAACTAATCTGTGTAATAATCTTGAGGCTTGCCATAAATATAACAGTCCAACATAATGTTACAACTTCTCTCATCCAGTACGGCTTAGAATTACTACTACTACTCCCTTTTGCAGAATAATTGAAGCAATCGCTTTAGTTTCCTTTTCTTTCAACATACGGTCAGTTTTAGACCCACTGGAGTTACAGGTCATTTAATATGAATCTATTTTCAGATTTTCATCACACCCAGACACTATTGTCTCGACTATTGATTAGTTGTCCTACAGCCATTGTTTGCGATGTACGTTGCTTCAAGGAAGCGTACGAAAATTGTAACGCTGCACGGACACATCGGCAAGCCTTGCCAGTGAGCAAATCAAAGTTCTATAGAGTGGCTTGGAAACTCTCTTGATTTAAATCCAATCGAGAATCTGGTGTCAATCTGTAAGAAACGACTTCTTGGAATGGACGTACGAAGTACCAACATGGACACTGGGTCATGTTTTCATTGGGAAAATACAAAAAAAAGTAAATAATAATGGAATTAATCGTTTTGGTTCAATTAATATGCACAAGAGTGTATATCTATCTATCTATCTATCTATCTATATATCTATATATCTATCTATCTATCTATCTATCTATCTATCTATCTTACTAGTTTAAAAATACTGTTCTATCGCTGCACATGAAACATTTCAAAATAGATTATTCCAAAATTCTCTTGAAAGTCAAACAATATATCCTATAATTAAATTTGAAGATTTTAGTTTCTGTTTTTGAAACAGGGTAATTCCTGTGTAGCGATGGAACCATATTTTTAAACTAGTAAATTTATAATATATATATATATATATATATATATATATATATATAGTTATTTTATAAAAACAAAATACAATTCCTTCGCTGCATAAGAGTTCTCATATTTCAAAAGCAGGAATCCTAAATTGTCGCTTGAGGATGAAACAGGGCGCGATATTTTAATTCAGTTTAATTTTAATAATTATATTGATGTTTTTGGCTCCTGTTTTTGAAACATGAGAACTCTTATGTAGCGAAGGAATCATATTTTTTAAGAAATAATTATAATTTAAGCACTTTGTATGGAGCACTGTTTTTTTTTTTTTTTTTAAATACTAAAGGACCCCGTATTATTTACTTAACGTGTTCTTTCCTATTTTTCTACATATTTGCACACACACACACTCACACACACAAAATATATATATATATATATATATATATATATATATATATATATATATATATATATATATATATATATATATACACAGAGAAAGCGTGCGGAGGGTAATTCCAGAGAATACTGCTTAGAACTTAAACAGATTTTTTTTTACAGTAAGGTTCATTCTGTACAAGGCCCGAAAGCCACTTGAGGTAGGGTGTTATGTTAATGGACAGTTTATACACAAAGGGGTGGAGAGAACGGTTAACTCTGGTTTTCAGCAGGTTAAGTTTGTAGCTATCGGGAAACCATCCTCTTGGGAGCCGGTTCCACAGAGCCGTAGTTTGCGGGAATCAGCTGTTAGGGTGAACTTCTCGTCGTTGCAATACGGTGGGAATGTAGTTTATTAAGTGGTAAATTGAAAATGAACTCATTGAAGATGGCTAATGACTTCACCGAAAACGCTTGCGACAAGAATACCTACGAACTATACACTAAGTTGTAAGAATATCAGAAAAGCCGAATTAAAAGAAATAAACATATAAAATATGTTCTTCAAGGAAACATGATGGTTTTCAGCGAGTTAAACATGTAAGACAATCGCTGACATGTTTGATGATTTAAAAAAAAATTTCATGAGAATGACAATGTTTTTTGAAGCCTACAAGTGTCTGGCAATGCTTATTGAAGATTCAGCAAACTAAGTTGTTTTGTACAGGGTCTGGCTTGTTTTGTAAACTCTGTTCAGCTTGGTCGTGAATTTTCATGTGATAAGTGAGAGCGGAGCGATATCTGCGTGTTTTCTGACCCACTCCGCATGTTAAGTTATTTCCGGCGGAAACGCACACACACACACACACACACATACACACACACACACACACACACACACACACACACACACATATATATATATATATATATATATATATATATATATATATAAAGAAATATAGTCTTAAAGGTGTGCTATATTTATGGGATAAACAATATCAGAGATAGAGCGTGTGTAAAAATAAAATAAATAAATAAGTACTATATTTGCTTAAAACCGAAAACCAAAAGAGAAAATATAAAATAAATTGACCTAAATTCATCCAAGTAAATAAATAGGCAAACCAATCCCAAATTAAAAACTGTTCCCGCCAAAAAAATAATAGTTAGAATGAACTACAACAACCAACCCCAAAATTGAACAAATAGCTTTTAATTAAATTCTCAAACCAAAACAAAACTGTTAAATACGTGATATAAACAAATTTTTACTACGTTAATAAATAAATAAATAAAATAAGAAACAAAAAAAAAATAAATAAATAAATAAATAAAATAAAATAAAAAATAAATAAAAACGAGCAATATAACTTGACCCAAATAAATGAACAAAGCGACTTCCGGTAAAATAACCGCCATAATAGAATACCCACAATGCACCACTAACCCGTATATATATAAATAGCCGAGAAAAATAATAGCACACGTGGCCTGACGATTGCATATAGCATGAAACAGACTGTCGCCTCTAAGTGTTGACTTCTATGTTCACTTTATATTTTATATATATATATATATATATATATACCTCAATATTTTGTAATAGCAAAATTGACCAATTGTTAGATTAAGATTTGAACCGTTGTATCTTAGAAATGATTAAAGATATCTTACTGGAATTCTCTGAGGTTTTTATAGCACTATTGGACTCTACTTTGAATAATAAGAATGTATTTAGGTCTAACTTGAAATAATGATCCCTCTTCCTGTTGTGACCTCCTGATCCAGTTTTCCTTTCTACTGATCCCTCTTTTTCAAACTTATTCACCATTCTCTTGATGGTTCTTGGATGGACTTTGAAAAGGGAAGCCAGAGTATGAATGTCGGTACTATTATTGAAGGTCTGAATGATCTTTTCCTCTCACCATTGCTCATTTGGGAAGATATAGTGGGGCTGACACAAAACGATTTTAACCTGTTCTCTCTTTAGCTGAATAACTCAAAAGGTCTTTCGACAAATGCTGTCAAGATGGCTAAACGTCTTATGTGAAAACTTGGAAAAACAAACTCAATTAGTTTAATGTTTTTTTAGATATTAAACATTTTGTGATATTGGCAATTATCCTACGCTGTTACACGATTTGGTCCATTTGAAAAATGGTGGGGAAAAAGGAAACTTATACTTAACATCAGTCAAGACAGTCAAGGTTTCTGGGGAACATAATGAGAAAAGAGGGCTTGGAAAATCTTATACACACAGGACAGATTGAGAGCAAGAGCGACAGAAGAAAAACAACGCATATCTTACTTAGTGAGCTTGAGTAAATGGATGGCGGAACAAGGTTTAGGAGAAATAAGAAAAAAAAAAAAAGACAGAATTTATTAAGATCTACAAGGAGCAGGAAGCTGTTGAGAGGGAAGCCAGAAGCCAGTAGAAAATTTCCATCGGCGAGAAATTCCTGAGAAGTACCTATTAGAATATAACTTACGGTCGCATCTAGCAATTTCAACACAATAATGATGAGACCTAACTGACCATCTAGTACTACGCATAGATTCGTAAAGTCGGGGTACCAAAAAAACACTCATCAGAACAACTGCCGTGAAAATATTTTTACATAGCAGAATCCCCAGACCAGATGTAACAACAATATTCAATGCCCGGACGAATGGCAGGGTTTAATATCAATAAAGCAGATAACATAGCCTACAATATCTTGTACATAGGCTAACTTCATAATCAGGAATGTAAATAGGCTGGGTCTTAAATACAGTCAAAGAGATTAGCGAGTACACAAAGCAGAAGCTGTTTTATTACGCATTTTCTAAAATCCGAGATGCTCAAAGAATCTGAGAATCTTCTGAAGTCGATGCCATACACGTAAGAGTGGCATTCGGCTTTGTTATTTGGTACTACCTATCTGAACGCTTTCTGTTTCATTACCGCCCAAAATTTTGCTTCCAGTGCCCCCCTAACTCTCTCTCTCTCTTTCTCTCTTACTCAGCCGAATTACCACCCGTATCTCACCCCACTTGAGCATGGGGAAAAGAAAAAGGAATCGTGCGGAGGTGGGGTAAACTTTTGGCAGACAGGTGGATCTCAGGTGGCTTGTTTGTCGGCAGAGCGAGGAGTTGATAACGGCTGCAATTCGCGACTTGTCGCTTCTTTTCTCCCATTGGTTCTTTTTTTCGTTCCGTCTTTTCTATCTTTCTTTTTCCCCTCCTTCCTTCCTTCCTTCCTTCCTTCCTTCCTTCCTTCCTTCATTCCTTTCCTTCTTTCTTTCTTTCTTTCTTTCTTTCTTTTTCTCTTTCTTTCTCTGTCCATCTATTACTTTCTTTCTTTTTCTTTCTCTTTCTTTCTTTCTTTCTTTTATTTTCTTTTCTTTCTTTTTTTCTTTTCTTTCTTTCTTTCTTTCTTTATCTGTCCATCTATTACTTTCTTTCTTTTTCTCTTTCTTTCTTTCTTTTTCTCTTTCTTTCTTTCTTTCTTTCTTTCTTTCTTTCTTTCTTTCTTTCTTTCTTTCTTTCTTTCTTTCTTTCTTTTTTCTATTCTTTCTTTCTTTCTTTATCCATCTAATATTCTTTCTTTCTTTCTTTCTTTCTTTCTTTCTTTCTTTCTTTCTTTCTTTATTTATTTATTTATTTATCTGTTCATCTATTAATTTCTTTCTTGCTTTCTTTTTCTTTCTTTCTTTCTTGCTTTCTTTTTCTTTCTTTCTTTCTTTTACATCATCATAATTACTTGTTTTTACTCTTTTTTTCTTCTCAACCTCACCATAGTAACACAAGTCGTGAATGTTGCCGGAATGTCAGGTCTCATTTTTCCAGCAATGTGGTTTCATTTCCCTTAATATAATCCCGAAGCAGTTATTTGCACTCATTGAAGATTCGCACACACCTCCTGTCTGTTGGCATTCACTGCAGATCAAGTGACAACAAGTTCGGCCGGTCTTGTAAGAATCTCTTCACTATTCAACAATGCAAACATGCTTCGATTCGATACACGCTTTTGTCTATCGCTGTCGAAAATGCACAGCCGACGGCATGTAAAATGGCATGCGTAAAAATAGAATGTGGCAACTGGAAACTTGTTCTATCCAACGTCGTGATTGTCTTGCTTTTATTTGTTGTAAATTCCGTGAAGATAAAATGGGGTACATTACTTTCGGATAATCTCTCATCCATGTAAAGACTTTTGCTCAGGCTGAGAACTTTGCGGCCCATGTGATATGAGACATTCTGTTTGTGTGTTGCACACAAACAGAATGTCTCATATCGAGAATATTCCACATTGAACATGAAGAAAAATTAATTATTTTTAAAATCATTAAAAAATTCACCTTTCACCTGAAGTCTGAAAATCCAGACCAGAAAACGTGTAAAATTATGATAAAATAAATATATATGAAACTAAATCCACATTGGAACCAAAAACGTTTGGTCTGTTTTTCTTTAAATTAAAACATACTTTTATATCGTTGGAATATATATATATATATTTATTTATATATATATATATATGCACATTTTATTGAATACGATAGAGAAGCTGCTTTTATTTAGTTTTTTTTTATACAATTTCTCCTGCGATCTAATAATTTTTTCTTTTCGGATGATAAATTATATAAAAACTATCCGAATGTTCTTTTTATGCAAGCGCTTTCGGCTTAAATATTTTAACTGTATGTATGTTTTATAAAATATTTTCATTTTTCAAAATACGGTCAAGATATTGTGTCCATGTTCAAAGTTAATATTATTAAGAATTTTTTTTTTGTCTTTATTAATAAGGTTTCTATTATTTTTAACCCTTTTTTACATGTAGATGATGCTATTATATTAGTGTTGTCACACACACACACACACACACACACACACATATATATATATATATATATATATACAGACGAAAGAAAAAGGAAGAGAAAAAAAAAAAAAAAAGGAAAAAGTTTTAATATTAAAAGAGGAAGAAACAAAAATAAAAATTTCGATATAACGTCTTAAAAACTGATGGCGAAGCGAGAAAGAGAGAAAGAGAGTGGTGGAAGAAGGGGGGAGAGAAAAGGAGGGAGTGAGAGGGAGTGAGAGGGAGGAGAGAAAAGAAAGGAAAGAACGAAGAATTAACATTAGCCGATAGGGTGACCAAGAAATTTCTTCTTTAAGGACTGAACAATACATACATATATATATATATATATATATATATATATATATATATATATATATATATATATATATATATATAGGCAGCTTTTCAAGCAAGTTTGTTTGAATATTCTAGACATATTATATATATTTTATTTATTTTTATTTTAATCCTCTCAAATTCCCGGATCAATTTCTTAGTGCTGTTACAAAACTTATTAAAAAAGACGCCAGAGTTTTGGTTATTTCTTTTATTTTTCCAAGTAGTTTCAATCTCATCCAAGATCCTCTTCAGGTGTTAAGACAAAAAAAAAAAAAAATGATAGTTGGGTATTATTTTGTAAATGCGCATGAAACGCACTCTGTTGAAGTAAATAAAACATTTCGAAATGTTCCACTGCCTAACAGTACTGTATGATGTTTCCAAATTTCTGGCGGAGTGAATTTCGCAAAAGAGCTCTTTTTCTCATCGACGGGGCCCAAACGAACCTACTATAATGTGGAGTCAACAAAATCAAAAAACCGTAACAAAATATAAAAAGGCGAAAATTTACCCATCGCACCTTGTATATATATATATATGTGTGTGTGTGTGTGTGTGTGTGTGTGTGTGTGTGTGTGAAATGTATCCTGCGAGACATGGGAAATGCTGATTAATTTAAAAATGAACAGATTGGACATTTTATTCCTGAAGGTTTCGAAAATATCGTATATATATATATATATATATATATATATATATATATATATATATATATTATGAAATGAAGTAAGTCCGACAATTATTTTGATATATCTTTTGCTTATACGTTCTTTTTATAGAGACAAATATTTAAGCAAATACTGTTTATAATAAACAGTATTAACAACATTTACCGCCCTGAATGTCCGAGAAATCTCCCTCAAAAATTTGTGTCCTCCGACAGGAATCGAACCTGTATCCTACACTGAGCCGTATAAACAGAAAAAATATTATATTGTAATTGTTAGACTTAGTTCGTTTCATAATATATGTTGTCATTTGTTTACGTTAATATACGCTTAGAGTAAAAACAGTAATTTGAATTTGCTAACCAGATGCTCCCTCTGTAGATAAATAGTATAGCACGTTAAGCCAATTAATGTAGTTAATACTGCTTATTATAAACAGAGTATTTACTTAAATATTTGCATCTACAAAAATATCCTATGAACAGAATATATATATATATATATATATATATATATATATATATATATATATATTCTTAAATATAACTGACGATGAATATCTATTATGTCTGATCTTGAGTTGTTCTAAAGTCCGTATGTTTTCAGGTGAAAATAAAATCCAACATTTGGATATTTTTTGTTATGCTGTTCCTTGATCTTAGATTTTCGCTTGATCCGAATATTGAACTGTTATTATGTGACTATTGTCTTCGAATAGCAATCTTCTATGTCAACATAATATCATCTGCGATGTTGAATATCTTTGCTTAAATGTCCATATAGCCACTCTGAAGATGGGTCACATGAACCAAAATCTTAGGCCAGAAAACATATATATATATATATATATATATATATATATATATGAAAATCAAGAAAAATCCTTAAAGATCCATGAGATATCATTTTTCTCTTTGGATTAATATATTCCTTGGAATCATTCCTAACAGTCACAAATTAATATTTCATAAAATATATATATATATATATATATATATATATATATATATATATATATATATTAGAAAAAAGTTTTTTTCTTTCCATAGGTCTATCTAATTATGTTCATATCTATCTATCTATCTATCTATCTATCTATGCTCTTTCTCTGATGTTGAGCACTTTTACCCATAAATGCAGCGTACACCTTAAAAATATATTTTAATCTCTCTCTCTCTCTCTCTCTCTCTCTATATATATATATATATATATATATATATATATATATATATATATATATATATAAAACTATATTTTCATCCTATACATACATATATATATAGAGAGGATAAAAATAAAATAGACGGGGGTGCTTCGAAAGTGTATATATATTCTGGTCTCTCCCGTCGTATTCGACGTATGAGGGTCCCCAAACGACCATCGGCAGGTTTTGAATTCAGAGTTGTTCTTCTCCTAGACCAGTTGCCATCCAAGGCTATAGAACCCAGTCTGTTCTGCTATTTACCCATAGCTGGAGGGAGAAGAAAAAGATTAATACCTTTCGCAATTCGAACTAGACTCTCTGAGCCGCTATCCACTGTGCCTCCTCATATGCACGTAAGTGAATGCAATGGATTCGACAGGAATTCGAACTCGGCGTGCCGATTCCTATTATATTAAGAACACAGAACGTTACGAAGCAGCAATCTATTTGCTTAATCCCTTTCCCTTGCCATATTGTTTCTGGATATAGGCGATCATGGCTCTCCACAGATCCATTTGCTTTAATATATGCGAATAGCTCGGGAAATATAGTCGAGTAGTGCCCCGTTTCATTCTCAACGCTCCCAGAGTTTTTTTTTAATTCTTTTAATTTAGGATGCTTAATAGTTTCAATTAACCCATAGCTTAAGGGAGATGTGACAGATTCAGGCATTTCTGCGGAAGTCATTGCCACGCATTCGCCGGGAATTTCTCGATACGCGTCAAATATGTGTTATAATAGTGGCAAAACCTTTGTATAATATACTCACCACTTAAATAAAAGGAAAGGCACGTTTAAAACCATTTCTTTAGAAAGATAGTGACATATTCCTGAGCGTAGGGAAAACATTCAGATATTAACCAGTGGATTTCAATCTTAACCTGACTTTATTGCCAAAGGACTTTTGATGGCTGAACACTTCTAGATACGAATATTGGAAAAGAATGAGAGAAATAATAAGTGACAAATGCAAACGAAATATTTTCTTACTTGCAAAATATGTATACAAGGCATGCATCTATCTATCTATCTATCTATCTATCTATCTATCTATCTATCTATCTATCTATCTTCATAATCTATCTATCTATCTATCTATCTATCTATCTTCTAATCTATCTATCTATCTATCTATCTATCTATTTCAGTCTGTTCATTATCTACCGATTTTCAGTCTGTTCACGATCTATCTATCTATCTATCTATCTATCTATCTATCTATCTATCTATCTTCATACTCTCTCTCTCTCTATCTATCTATCTATCTATCTATCTATCTATCTATCTATCACAGTCTGTTCACTATCTATCTATCTATCTATCTATTTCAGTCTGTTCATTATCTATCTATCTATCTATCTATCTATCTATCTATCTATCTATGTTCATAATCTCTCTCTCTCTCTCTCTCTCTCTCTCTATCTATCTATCTATTTATCTATCCATCTATCACTGTTCAATATCTATCTATCTATCTATCTATCTATCTATCTATCTATTTCAATCTTTTCCTATCCAATCTAACTTTTGATGAACCCCAAGAATTGAATGTCCATTCATTTCTTTCTTTACATCTTACTGAAGGACACATTCTATAATTTAAGCGTCACTGATACCAAACCATATCGTGTCTCTATTTTCCTAGTTCTCTTTCTCTATTCCCCTAATTCTCTCTCTT